AGTGAGCCACCGCTGCAAGTTTGCCGTAATCATTGATCCCCATGTCAGGCTTCCTAGAGGACTTTCTTTTAGGGAAGCTTGATCTGCATTCCTTCCTCAAGGATGAGGAAACTTTAGTAAGACACTTTCCATACAAGTCTGCCTATGGGGATGTTAGTACCCGGTGTATGTAGAAGCATTGAAGCTTGACACTTAGGACGGTTCAGATAATGCTAATCAGTTCTGAGTGAGGGTTAACAAACAGAATGCTCTTACAGAAGTGCTCGTTTTCGTACTTATAAGGCCTGCGTTACTTGCATGTATCTTCATTGGTGAGGGAACAGTTCCACCAGGTTACGGTGGAATGTCCAGAAACCTGTAAACCGGTCTGGAACTGGAGCTGAGCTGAGCTGAGCTGAAAGTAGCAGTAAAATGTAAACAGCAACTGAGCCATACTTTCCATGTAAGTAGATCTTTTCAGTTTATCAGCTTTTCTTGGTGGAAAAACTACCACATGTTTCCTTATTAAAACACACTGTTCATGTTTTTGATAAATTGTAAAGGAAGTTATATTACTTTATTTTCTTGTAGGTATGTCAACCGATTATACCAATGAATTAAACATAGAGTTGCTGAAATAAACTAATATTAGTGTACAGCTGATAAAACTGGGGCATAATAACCTTTAATATTTTATGGCAGACTAATTTATTTGGCCTATGTCATAAAGACATGTAGTGCCGGTTGGCACTGACACCTTTTTCAAGTAAACTGCCTGAATACAATGACTCTTTCACTTATTTAGAAAGTTATACTAATCCTACGTTATGTCTAGTTTTGTCAAGGTAATCAAACGTAATATATCTGAGAGGTATACTCATAGAATTTGGACGACCTAACGACAGGAGCAGGTGAATGGCAGGATATTTGAATGATTAAATAATAGTCACAGGCTTCATTATGCACGCGTTTGAAAACGCACCGTGATAAGGAGTGCCAAACCAGAAGGAAATACCTTTGTAGGAATTCTCTCAGTCTCATTCAGTCCGCATCAACATGAGACCTGTAACTGCCACATAACGATCCAAGCTACAAGTCATCGAGGTGAAAGATAGAGAAACCCATAAGAGAAGGAAAGAAAGGGCTAGAAAATGAGGAATTTCGATATGACTATAGACATGAAAAGGTACAAAGTTATCTGCTCTAGTTCAACTAATTCTAAGTAACATCACTAAGGGTTCTCAACAACTAATTCCTGTTTTCATAAGGGTTCCAAGCAGAAGGTCTACGTTTACCTACATGACTCAGGCAAACAGTCTGAGACTTCATGAACTGAAGCCAAGTTTAACTCTAGTTTTCTAGCCTAAACCAGGTTTTGGTGATATTATGTAGTGGGACTGATGGTGACTTAGAGTGTGTAACACGAGTTCAAGCCATCTCAGTAGATGAAAGCTTACAACCTTATCAACTAACTACCCTCTCCCATTAAAAAACTTAAGACTGACTTCTGTGTTAAAGACATGGTAGTTCAATTATGCACAACTTATGCTACGAAGACAACGGAAGTTGAAAACCCGAAGCCTTCAGTAATAATGTCTTACAGACAAACAAGAAGATATAAGGAACTGGTGAGAAGTAAACTGTCCCAAATAGGCAGTCAGATATCTTACCCGTAGTTTAAATAGCGTAAGTTGACAAAAGCCAGTCTAGCCTTTTGTATCCGTGCAGAAATTTCCTTCACCAGTGACGCACTAGGGTCGATCCCACTTTCCAAGGAAGTGAAGTCATCAACACGCTTAACCACTTCACTTCTTACCGGTAAACAAAGCACCAAAGCAGATAAGTTCTGGAAGAACAATTTGTATCTTACTGGGGAGAAAAATATTCCAAATATCGTTGAGTTGCCACTAGAAGTGTATAGAGGACTGTATATTCTCAGCACCTTTGAATATTGGGACTATGTCATCTCTGTATTTTTGATCTACTGAAGAGTCTTCTATGACAGGATCAGTCTCTGTTAGGTTAGAAGACGAAAGAAATACCTCCATAATAGCGTATATGACACAGTTTCATAACTAGTATCGATTCAGAAACTGTCTTCAAATCAATCTATCATCAAAAAAATACTGAAGTAAAGAAATTGATGAACTTAATTTGATATTTCACTTTATATTGAAACAGCATTAAGTGAAGAGCAACTAACATTCATTCAGATTAGGATGGACTGTAGGTGTATTTCAACTGCCTACTTGATAAGACTTTGAGTATGAGATAGATGATCTGAAAATTGCCACTTATTATGATATATGACAAACTCAGTTATGAATGCACACTTTTCTATAGGTTGTTGATGATGTTGTGAAGATGCAGTGATTAATTTTATAATTAAAAATTGTAATGTCCATCTGAGGTAGCAGTAGCATCAGAAGAACAGAGAGGAGAGCATACCTTGGATTCTTTGAATACAGACCAAAAAGCCTGTGTCTTAGGAGAACGAATACTTTCAACATTTCAATCACTCGGCTTCTTATTGACGCTAGTTATGAAACAGATACCTTAGAATCCCTAAAAGTAATCAACAAACTACCTAATTCAAACTTTCCCAAGTCAACTGAAGCCTAAGTAATCAGACGACTCAAACTGGATTCGCCTGATCAAAAAGAATGAGGGATAAGCCTTTCTTTCCCTGGCAACCTATTACTTTACTGTTCCTCTTATTTAATGACATTATCTTTTGACAACCCATTTTCTGTTTGTACATAACTTTTATGATCGTTCCACCAACTGAGTTCAGCTCAATATGTTATTGCGTAATATGTCTGTTGTTTACCATCAAACAGCCAATCTGTTAATCATCTTACGCAATCCTTTTTTACTATTCATATCATTTTCTTCAGCTCTCTGTTAAATATATATATATATATATATATATATATAAATGCAAAAGGGAGTTCAACGCCTCTGTTGTGTTGCCATACAGGGAAAGAACATGCAAACTTTTACGTAAGATTCTCAACAAAGCTGGAATTAGGGTGGCATTTAGACCTACAAACTCGACTCTGGAGTATATCTGCGAATGGCAAATGATTATTATTCTCTTTCTCACTACTCAGGCTGATGTCAGTTAGCACTGTGTTAAATCCTTTTAGTAGGAAAGCCATATCTTCATGCTTCTCAAAAATCACTTTGATGTCACCAACATATCTCTTGTAAAGAGGAACTTTAGCGGTGAGATCACCAGCCAGATTTTTTATATATGACAAACAAATATCAGCTAGTAGTGGTCCTAAGGAACTACCCATAGATACACAGTCAACTTGTCGAAAGCGTTCAACTTCAAATGTGGAGTGGACTTTGTCGGTACATAGTAATGACAGCTCCTTCAGAAAGTTTGGAGTAATAAGAAATTGGAGGTTTCTAGAAGGCATATGGTCACAGAGAATTCTAATAGACTTGGACAACGGCACGTTAGTAAATAAAGAATTTACATCGAAGATGTAAATCAAATTATTGACTAAAATACTTGTGGAAAATGGATATCCAATGAAGTTTATAAACCGTTGTAGAGGTCAAGTAGCACCAAAGCCAACTCTATACACGGTTCCAAAGAAAAACATCCATATAACTCTGCCTTACAGAGGGGAGTTGAATAGTATCATTTTGAGATGTTGGCTGACATCAGCCATTAAGAAAACATATTGCGCAGCTAATCTTATCATTGTGGAAAAAACAAAACACATACTTCACCGGAAACCTAAACGCTGCGTCGATGATTACGTCACATCCCACTATGTTTATCAGTCTACATGTGTGTGTGTGGTCACGCAAACAGCTATTCATTTGAGGGTGGGAGATCGTCCACCTAAATGACTTTAAAAAACAAATGGAGTACGAAACAGTGATAAACGCTGATGAGAGATGAGCCCCTTCATCTACAGCCGTACACATCATAGAAACAGGTCACAAAACTATTGTTCAAACAGCTTTCAAAGTTTCATATAGAAACAGTCAGGGATCTATGCTGAAATTTGTGGAAGACATAGCCATACACAAATTGAAATCACCTTTATGTGCATAAAAACAATTTGCTTTTACACTACACCTACCTTGGTAAACTTTGTTTTCTTATCGAGATCAGGACCAACAATGTCACCTCCTGTTTTGTTTTCATCTTTTTTAATTTTAATCTCCTACTGTGTTAATTGTTGTAGTTATCCTCCCACTCCTCGGTTTAATATATATCGACTTGACAAGTAAATGTCTGGAGGATACGATTGTTTGAAATGTATTGTGCAAATACATCACACTGTTCAGATAAACTTTATCTTCTAATTATGCTACCGAAAATATAAAGGGAACTAAAATTCTACTGAAGTGCCCAAGTTTAACACTTGCCTTAACTTCTTTTAACTGAAAAGTGTATGTTTTAATCCTTACACCATAATTATATTTAAATATTTTAAGTTGTAAGCAGATGTGTATGAAATAACTGATAAGGTTCTTTGCTCAGATTGTGTTACTTGACATGTGGCATATAGTTAGTTCCAATTAACTTCAGTTGAAGTTAGCATATCAAAATAGTAGTCAGATGTCGAATAATATAGTCCACTGAATTTCGTCTCACTTTCAAATGGTACTGGGGTCACCACACGATGTGAATATCTTGGGTTCTATCGCCAGTGGGCTGATGGTTGCACACTTCTCAAAAGTCTTATACTAGAAGGAAATAGATGTCTTATGTTATGAGGTTTTCAGTGATTCTCAAAATAGTGTCAGCCTGTAATGTATAACATGCGTCAAATTATTTGTGTTTTCCCAAGTCGAGTAGTTTTATAACCAGAATGACAGACTGTGAATATATGGACCAATAGCGTTAGAGATAACACCTAAGTGTTTGGATACAGCTCAAGATATAGATGACTTGGACGAGACAACTTATATACGAATTAATATAATAAGAAAAGTTATTATAGAGAGTGAAGATGACAATACTATTAGCAGTGACAATAATTTTTACTTACCATCTGCTAAATATTCTGCTTCACTAATAAATCCATCCTTGTCTTTGTCAAAATCTCTTAAAGTATGTTTCAATTCATACGGTGCCATATGACGATAATTGTGTGGGTGTTCGAATGCAACAAATTCAGTTTCATTGAGATAACCGTTTTTGTCTTGATCGGCTGAATCAAATTTCAGCTTCTCTTCATCTAAAGACTAGGTAAGGTAAAAGTAAAATTTACAATAAAAAAATTTCCTTTTTCAGTAAAAAGCTAGAAATATATTGTGAAAGTCAGGTTATATTACACTGGACTTCATTCAAAATCCTTTGAACTACCAGCTGAGTATCCTATCGACTAACCGTAGATGAAACTTCTAATTACGTTGCAATTTCACTTCAGTTACTGGAATATAGAAGTAAGTAGTTTTCATATTGTTCATATAGCTGATAGCAGGACAAAGCATTTATTCAATGAAGTGGACTACTGTTTGAGTTTGATTGATCAGTCAGTTTGATTTTAGGTAATCAGCTCAACCAAAAGTCACTGGTGTAAATTCTCCCGTGACCCATATGGGCTTACAATTTTATTCATCACTTCTGTGCCAAAATTCTTACAATGTGTTTCGTAGTGGATACAGAATATTCGTCAGGGCTTATGACTCTAATTTGAAGCAAACTAATTAGAACTCATGTTATTATTTGTTATCAAATCAACCGACTTACAATCTAAAGCAATCTGAATAAAAAATTTCAGTATGCCTTTTGATAACCACCTTTAGGTGAGTGTACTAGCATCTGAACAACACTTATTCCCTCTAAATGATAAAGGTACCATTTGAGCATTCAAACCTCAGTGGTGGAGTGAAAATCTAGTTAGTCCTTCAGATGTTGAAATTCATGTATCTAGACCAATTAAATACCAGTCTTTTAAACGCCTATATGCATGCGATTTATTCCAATCTGCAGGAAATCACTAATTCGAATGGAAAGTAATACTAGTTTACAAGGTAATCAAAGCCAGTTAATTAGCAGGGTCACAGTCTGTTACAAATCTTTCCATATTATTCAACTGATTGGTCTGTAGAAAATTTAGAAATCTTGACGAATTGATGTCACCTGCAGAAGTATATAAGGCACTTTTTAGGCATTACTAACTACAACCCTACTAAAATTGAAAGACTATAGATGATTGAAATGGCCTGAAGTATTTAGATCGTGTTGTTCTGGTTAGTGAAATCTTCAGGTAAGCGTCAGTACTTTCTAATTACTCATATAGTATACACTCAATGGTACATTTTGTTAGTTCGCGACAATTTCCTATCGCTTTATTCCAAACAATATGAATGATATAGCATGAAATCCTCAGCATATAGTTTTTCAAAAGCGTCACTCCGAGAACGGTATCTTCAGATGAAATGATTACTGCATTTGAATTATGTTAATACTAACAGTACTGAAGGCAATAATGTGAAACAACCAGCAAGTTTTGGATTAGTATCCGGTCCATTATAAAGAATCAACAGAAACATGAGAGTAAGTTTGGTGATGATGGTTCATTCAGCCAGTATAACAATCTCCAACTCATGCTAAGTATCCGAGAAATAGAAATACCATGTACTTTTGCCAACAGAAAAGTCCATTTCCATACAACGTGGCATTTTTTCTCTGTTGTGGAATTAACTGTAGAAACGATGAGTTGTAAACATTTTAAGATGTGCAATAGTACATGATACGCTCACAGGGCACATTTCAACGATTTAAAGGAATTGAAAGGAAAATATGTGATATATATGTTTGGTGGAAAATTTCGTTGTCCCAAGGTTCAAGCAGACTGAGTGGTTTCCAGCAAAAGGTTGTTGACAAGTAAAAAACCATTCGACTGTAGTAAATATCAATGTTGACTATGTGATTTGTTATCAGTTTACAGGCTCCTCATCCATTTTATGATATATCGATACATTCAAGCTGGTTAGCCACACTCAGTTAATCTGGCTTGGTTCACGTACGTCAATAATGAATTTGAACCAGAAATCGGTAAAGCGATTGTTCACAGTTCTGGTTAATGAAATCTGCAGATAAGAGTGAAAGATTTCTAAGTACTCACGTTACTCAGTGACATATCCTGTTCCATGGTTTTTATGGTTCCATAACTAATGATACTTGGTGATGCGAAACTAACTTAAGATCTGTTTCCAATATATGCACATATTCATGACCTAGATTGTTTTAAACCTGATTGTTCTGTTTATTTTAGAGTTGAATCTTTTTAGACTTAACATATCAAGGTTCAGGAACCGAATTCGACGAACTTCAAGATAAAACTCTGATTTCTTTATCTAATAGTCAATGACTGAAACACATTCGGAATAGACCATATCAGGGTTTTTCAGCGAAAGCATTCAAGGATTAACATTACTTTGATATCCTAGTATCTTGATCAGTTAGAAAGAAAGTTAAACAGGTCGTTCATAAGGATAACTACTTTTGTGACAAATTAAAATATATTCTTTCAAAATAAAAACTGATAAAAACAGTTTCCTAACAGGATATACTGAGATTATAAGTTAAATAAGATTGATAGAAGTTAATTGATCTGTAAGTCTTATTTATGAAAATATGAACAGAGGTTATTCAAAATAAATGCGAAATTGAGTTGAATCGGAAAAGGCGGAAATCCAATATTGAATAAAACCGCTCCCGAGTTAGGATCCAGGTGGGAACAGCATCACTCACTGGGAGGCAGGTACATCCAGCTGACGAGTCCCAAATAGGATGAAATGCTCATCCTGGATTCCACTGCTAGCCACTGCCCATCATTACTATACATAGTTAAAAGACAGGCAATATCGAGGCATCCGCATAAGAGCCCATATGCCGACAGAGGCTGATCAGTTCGGTCCAATCAACGACGGTGTTATACAAGCAACAACACTAATTTGGCCTTAGTTACAAATTTCAACAAACAAAACTGATATATGCTTATCACTACAGATGAGTCTTTTAGCACCTGCAGCTTACGCAGGTTACAACTAACGATATTAAAATGTCATTCATGCTGCTGACTAGCACAAGAATTTAGGTACATCCAACTGACGAGTCTCAAATAGGACGAAACATGCTTCTTGGATTCCTCTGCTAGTCACCAAAATGAATATAACGGCGCGAATATCCGATATTGTTGAGGTATTGACATAAAGGCCCATCTACTAAGAGTAGAAATGGATCAATTCAACTCTTTATAGCAACGTGAAATTACAATTATCATAACGAGATTTCATGTAGATGAGAATCACATCGAAAATCACAGTGGTAGATCAATAAAGGGTAACTAATGTCACTGTTCTACTTGAATGGATTTTCCTGAGAAGAGCTTACAACACTAGTATAGGTATCATTTGCATTCATACTACTGCTAACTTAACCCTAGATAACCAAACGTTCATTTTGCTTATTCAGAAATAAATTAGTCAGTTAATATGAACAGACTCAGTTGATTTGAACAATTTCTTTCAGTACACTGCTGGTGGACTCAGTGTCAAATAAACGAAACTTCTATCTGTTAGTAGGGGTTACTAGTAATAGGGTTCCTAGGTTCCAATGATAGTTGCATTAGTAACATTGCTCATCGTGTAAGCACATATCGAGTCATCGTCTGCCTCGACGTGCTATGCTGAGGGACATTAGATTAGTTTGATAGAGGGTTGAGAGTCACTAGACCACGACCTGGCACCAGTTCATGAAGTCCCTGACTATTGGACTGAGTTGGCTTTGGAGATGCAGACTCCCTGGCTGTGATCCTTTGACGAAAGGAATCAGTAGTTTGGGACTCTTGGTGACATGGCTGAAAATCAGTCACAATGGCGAAGATGTATTCGCTCTTTGACTTCTTCTAAAGTTTGAATATCTGCACAAATGGTTATCTACAAATTGTCTACTTTGATATCACTACTTTTCTATCCACATGTTCTTTGTTTACTGCTGTGAAGTGTGGCACCTTGAACGTTCTACATTGGTTTTGTCATTGTAAACAGGATGCTCAAAATCACTTACAATCAACACGGAGTAAACTAATCGACTTACCAGAAAAGTAAGGAATCAATAATCACCACTGCATATTAATATTTAAAAAAGTACTCCTCTTCATTGTAACCAAACTGAAAATTTGGGTTAATCAGGTTAAAATTTGTGACATGAAACTTAACTGGTACTCATCACTTGTTGAAAAAATCAACAGAATTTCTGCTAGAGAACTCAAATAGCAAAGAAACACTACCGTAATATGTAAAGACCATGTTATCAGAATGGTCCAAAACCGATTTTAAAGTTAAGATCATGCAAAGAATTTTGGCAAGATAACCTATCATCTTTACTACTAAGTATTAGTATGATAAAAAAAGATTGATGATTGTCATTTACTTTGTGGTGTTCAGCGGTGGAATCTGAGACGCACCTTTTGACTTGTCCCTGACTCGTCGGCTGGATGTTCCTGAAACCCAGTGGTGTTCTCGCTGAGACTCGAACCCCGCATCCACCTCTTCGAACAATCATTTTGACCCAGCATAACATAAGGAAATTACAAGTACCAGTAAAGAATGACTGATACCTGTTGTATTAGAATTGATTGTCGTGCTTCAGTGGTCTATTGGATAAAACTGTGGCGTTATATGTAATGGGTGAGAGGAAGACCACCAGTCACTGTGGTGCACGTACATTCAACCAACGATTCCTTAATAAGGCGAGACGCACGTCTTGGATTTGACTGTTAGCCACCAACAAGTAAATTGCAACATAAGTGAGGTATCCATAAAGAAGCCCATACAAACAGAGGTCTATTGATTCGATTTAGAATAACAACAAGAATTTACAAGTATCACTAAGTAATAAGACTGATGATTTTTCGAAGAAGAGTGATTATCTGACTTTGGGGCATAAAGAACAAATGAAGTTGTTAGCTACAATGTATATTAGGGCAGATTCGAGTTATGAAATGCGGGTCAAGTCTCTTTGATGGGTTACTGAAGGCATTACAAGTGTTTGTAGTTATCTATCTCTTTAACATCTCCATCTGCCAAATTTAATGTGGAATAAGCATCATTGTAGTACTCCATTACTCTAATATGGGTAACAGTTTGACTGATAAACAATAAGCAATAATGAGGGGATTATAGTAATCAATATAGTCAGCTGATCACTCGGTTTGTAGACGATACATTCATTACAAAGGGAACCTAGCTGACAAGTAAGAAATAATCGAGTCTGAAAGTTTTGGCAGTCTCTAGTAAAGGGAATGGAGGAGACAGCATCTGTCCCAGTGATAGAGACCTGATTATTAAAATCTCGCCTTTAAATTACCGTCTTCGATCAGCTTTTAGCTTGAAGTAGAATTTTCCTTTCATACAAGTTTTTGAGCTCAAACTTTACACATGATAGTGTCGATAAGTTAGCCAAAAAACCACCCGAACAAGTCGGCCCTTAGTCTTGTTCTCTTTAGAAAGTACTGAAGCGGTACACAACACTGCTGTCAGGGAGTCAAGGTCTAGATAAACTAATGGTTACGTCTCAGAATTCAACACCGACTGATGTAGATGCAGCTGGTGAACAGTAAATGATCATCAACATTATGCTAAATACTACTTGAAAACTGTATTTTTTATGGGGAAAACATTAATTAAAGCTGATAGACAGGGGGTCAATAATGTATCTAGTGACTTACAGTTTGATATATCTAAAGGAATATAAAAAGTGAAAGTAAGATTTAATGAGTAAATAACCTGACAAATGCTACCATGTTTTGTTCATAGCTTTCATTCTAAAATGGCGGTAAAAGCGGCTAAAATGATAACGATCATACTATACTAACTACAGAGGGGAGCACTGATTTCATTGTTCTAAATTTTCTGTTCAACATTCAGAAAATCAAAATTCTGCCTGGGAGTGACTTTAAAGGTCACCCTTGGAATTGATGAAATAACCAATCAGGTCTCGGTATCTCAACTTAGAGGGCAGACTTTCACACAACAAAGAAAAGTAATTGGTTATCTTAGCAGTTGTATGGGTAAACTTTTAAGCGACTCCTAAATGCATACTCAATTTAACAGCCACTAAACCGTGATAACAATAATATTTAGGAGGAAGGTTCTGACCCAAATGGTTAGCTGAATAAAGTAGTTCCTTGACACTTCTTATGCCTGTACAGTCTTTCAGCTATTTAATTGCACTGTCAAAATGATTTCCATCTAAAACCTCGGAGTCAAGCCCTAAGTATGTTGACTAAAACAAAGAAACGTATGTAAGATTACATTTGCAACTAAAATATAGTGGCCAATAAAACTAGACATCAGAAACAAGTTGATTTTTTGTGAGGATGAACTGATTTCAAGTTGACATTCTTCATGGACTGATATCATTTGGCAAAACATTGGAAACCTGGGAGCACTGAACAGCTGTTTCATCCTAGTGTGGGACTCCCCAACAGTGCACATCTATGATCCTGCCAGGTGTCAAGTCCAGGAGTTTCGGGTTCCACACCCAGTGCGTCACCATTGAGCCAGTGAGTCGGAATTCAGTGGTCCATTTTTCGTACTTCTGTCGGTTCACGACATAGCGTGACCATTATCTAATGTCATCTTTGAGTATTTGTCTTCATGTCCTAGACCACATCTATAGTAGGGTTATAGGTGCGCGCTGCTGAGGAGTCCCATACCAGGACGAAACAGCTATCCATTCCTCCCAAGTTTCCAATGTTTCTTTAACTGATGTCAGTTCATGATGAATACGAGCTTGTGGGTGATTTCTGTTCCGAATTTAAATGGACAACGCTGACCGATGCATATGACCTCTCCACTCAGGAATCTACACAGAAGAAACAAAAATTCGGTGACAGTAATGAAGTAAGCAATTGTTATTAGCTGACAGCTGATGGAAACTTGATACAAGCAGACGTTTAAGATGACGTAGTAGAAGTTTATTGCCATTCTGAAACAACATAATTTGTTGCCATAACGCGATACTGGATAAATACAGATAAACTGACTCCCAAAAAAGGAAAACAGTATATATGGACATAAATACTCGCTTTTTACAGATATTTTATACAGAAATCTGGTTAGTAGTCGAAACTCATAGCTCAGTTGGTACATCATCTGGCCGGAAACCCAGTGGTCACTGGTTCAAATCTGTATGCGGTCCAAATTTTCATTTCACCTTCAATCATCACCCAGTATAAATGCTAGTCTGCCAAACCACAGCCATTTCAGATAGTCAAAAGACATTGAGTAAGGATCATGATATCCTAATTAACTCAGTTAAAAGCAGTAAGCAGGCAATAAGAATAAAGAGGGACTAAAATACTGTTACTAAGACATGGGAAGGTGGCTATTTATATTTTCTTTGTATCTACATAAACCTCATAGAGAATCCTCTATCAGAATAAATTCTGTAAAGTGAAGCGGTCCTATCATTTTCTGTAATTTTGTTATTTTAAAAGGTTCAGAAATGAAAATCTTGTGTCTTATATTCACGAAGCAACTTGTGACTCCTCTGTGGAGGACACACACTTTTTAAAATTATGTTCAGAAAACTTATTGTGCGGATACTTTTCTCACCGTAAATGGATGTGCATTAATAAGCACAACTGAATGCAGTGTGATCAAGTTATTTCTTACTTTGGATTGGTGTAGTAGGCATGAGGTCTCGTATACAGATCTCAGTCATGCAGTAAGAAGATATCCGTTTATTCTTGCTTTTTCGTCATGTCTATTCTTTCTCATACTGCATCTTTTCTGAATGGAGATGTAACAAAACAAACCTTATCCTTTCAAGATCTGGATGTCGAGTTCTCGCAGTTTAGCGTAACTGCTATCTCAAAGTTTTATTCCGGCTTTTGCATACAGTATTAGCTCTTTCTTCTTATATTACAGTCTGAAGAATTTCAACTATCTTTTAAATGTCTACCATCTTCAGGTAGTGAAAAGTTTTTGCTTTTTGTAGTTTATAAAAGGCAAAACTAAATTAGACCATAGTAAGAAAATTTTGTCTGTAGTAAATGACCTTGAAAGTTTATTGTATTATATTTATCAGGTTGCATACCTTAGAAACTTATAACACCTAATTTGGATAAGAGAATTATATAACTCACAAAAAACTGTTAAATTTGTATATATTCAACTTCAAAGGAACACCTTATTAATATAGTGAACTGTTCACTGATCAGTCACTTGAGAGAAACCAATATCACACTGTTTAAACATTAGTTCTCACCAAACTGTTTTCAGTCTAAGTATGAAGCTAAGGTACTTCACAGTGTAGCACGCTGTTTGATTTTGTTCATCTGATTAGATGATTCGGTTAACTTAATTAAGCTAATTCATACATCGAAAACAAGATAATCAGAGAAAAAAACTCTTTCCAGCGAATTCATTCTCAAACTGAACATTCGTATATCATTTTGAAATGTAAAGACTTCAATCCGTCGGGTAGATTAAACTTGAATAATTGGAGATTGTAATAACAATAACGGTGGTTATAATTGCAATAATGTTGCTAGTTGATAATGTGAAGGTTGAATGATAACAAAATGGGAAACAAGACTTAAAAATAGTATACAAGATGCATATAGATTGCATAGGGATGAAAACATGGTAGAGTTAATCAACAGTTAAAGGACTATGTAATATGAAACAGACAAGTTAAATGGGATCGGATGAGAATGTTTTGTTAGAAGTTGTAATTATTGGGAAGATTGAATGAAGTAACACTGGAAACTATTAAATGTAAAAATAATAATACTGATAATGATGACATAAGAGTACAAAGATTAATCTAACAAAAAGGGATAAGTTGAAAAAACAAAAAGTAAACGAAACCAACCAATACGAAATTGAGTTGAAGCCAAGGTAGAGACAAAGACAGTACATACTTCTTTTGCGCACAAAGGTCAGGTAGGCTTGAGTTCACGGATAGCCAAGGTCTCTATTGCTTTAAGAAGCTGAATACAGAGAAAACGTGAAATGTTTGGGTGAATTAGATAGACAACCCTAAAATCATTGTTCAAGTTGGTTGATTGGTTGGAATCGACTAAACGTTCAAGGATAGAACTTCTAATTCGTTTCCTTCCACCCTTATAAAATGATTTTAGGGTCGTCTGTCTAATTCGTCCAAACATTTCACGTTTTCTCTGTATTCAGCTTCTTAAAGCAATAGAGACCTAGGCTATCCGTGAACTCAAGCCTACCTGACCTTTGTGCGCAAAAGAAGTATGTACTGTCTTTGTCTCTATCTTGGCTTCAACTCAATTTCGTATTGGTTGGTTTCGTTTACTTTTTGTTTTTTCAACTTACCCCTTTTTGGTAGATTAATCTTTGTACTCTTATGTCATCATTATCAGTATTATTATTTTTACATTTAATAGTTTCCAGTGTTACTTCATTCAATCTTCCCAATAATTACAACTTCTAACAAAACATTCTCATCTGATCCCATTTAACTTGTCTGTTTCATATTACATAGTCCTTTAACTGTTGATTAACTCTACCATGTTTTCATCCCTATGCAATCTATATGCATCTTGTATACTATTTTAAGTCTTGTTTTCCCATTTTGTTATCATTCAACCTTCACATCATCAACTAACAACATTATTGCAATTATAACCACCGTTATTGTTATTCCGATCTTCAATTATTCAAGCTTAATCTACATGACGGATAAATATATGAATGTTCAGTTTGAGAATGAATTCTTTGAAAAGTGTTCTTTTCTCTGAATTATGAGTTGGCTTCTTCCACATATATGTTCATTTGGGGAATTGTAATGATCAGTTTGCTTCAAATAGGTTTCTACTGTAGGTTGAAATCAGCTGATGACGTCAAGACTGGGATGGAACAGCTGTTTAGTACTGCCACATTTTAGGAGATTCTCTATCTGGTATCGATTCCTCATGAAAATTATATAATATTAAGCCGGATAAAAATCTAAATACAGGCTATCAAAAAAAATCTGTACCTGAACGAATAATTTCGTTTCATTTTTGCTGTCTTTTCGAAAATCCTCCAATTCTTGAGCTGTGTAACCATAAATTTTGTTTGTATACTCAGACCATGTAAGTAGACCATCACCGTTTGTGTCATATTCTTTTAAACGTGGTTTTGATGCTTCAAGATCGAGGGAACTGATGAACAAGAGGAATATAATAATTATTAACAATGACTGAATAAGCAAAATAGTTAAATAATAACAAGTGAATGAAACACAGTCTATGAACTTAGTTTATTTTTACTTTTCTGTTGAGATTATCACATCAAGGAAGATGTAGTTTTGAGACTATTATTCTGAGTGAATTTTAAAATACGGTGAACATGGTCTTCAGCAGCAGTCAGTTAGATGCCTAGACAAACTGGCGTCAAACCTGACATAGAAGTGTCTTGGTTCAGTTTGCTACCCTTCACATCAGCAAAACAAAGAAAATGTGGGTAGAGAAAGAGTGGTATTAAAATAGAAGAAGGTTTACGGTTGAGACAGAGAAATTAAAAAAATCAGAGTTAGTGAAAATGTCCAAAATTTCGAAGATGTCTAATAATGAAAACTTCTGAGCCATTGTGACTGACCTTCAGCCATTTTACTGAAAGTCTTCAACCAGTGATTCTTATTATCTTGAAGAACTCAACCAGGTAGTCTTTGATGTTATCGTTTGTGCATCCACTTCCCTGCCTGGACCGAATTGATTGTCTACCACTGACATGTGGGTTCCTATGTGGATACCTCTATATTGCTGTTATTTTCAAAATTGATATTAGTGATAGTTTGCGTGTTTAGAAATGTTTCTAATCTTCTCAAGTCATCAACAACCCATTATCATACTAGATGAATTACATACACTCAATGACTTCCTCATTACAGCTATTTCAGGAATAAATGTTAGCGTAGTTGAGCAGAAATATTACCTTCATGATATCCAATTACTACTATATAAGGTTAAATGGCGAAAAAAAGACACTTCAACTCACAACTTTCGTAGTACTGACTTCCCATAAACTAACACTGTCCTCAAAGTTTAACTGAATGAATAAGGGTGATTTAAATGTTTACCCTAACAACTTTTGAGGTAACCAATTATGGTTTGATATTTTATAGAAAGCTAACTTCTTAGTCAAAATAAGGCAACCTGATTGGTTGTTTCAGTTGTTGCTGAGGTAGCCTTTAAAATAACTCAATGAATATCCTGAGGCCAACTGACTCCATGTTAGATTGGTAGTGATTCAAATGCATTACTGACATAAATTGTCAGTTATATACAAAATGCTATGACTGAGATTGTAGACAGTAAATGCATAGACAAGGTGATTAGCGAAATAAACACATTTTCAATAATAGAGAGAAAGCTACTTTCCTAAATGCCATAGAAGGTCTAAAATACTGGTACAAACCTAGGAATTAAAGAAAGAGCTCTACACTCTGTTACACCGTTCTGAATGTATTTTTAAAATAATAAGATCTCTTTTGAAGTAGAAAATTAAAGTTCTAAGATTCTAAGTGGTAAAGGTTGGAGAATTTTTTTGTATGGGTAGAAAACGTTTTCTGTTGCTTTCCACTAAGGCTGTTTCTAGGGTATATATATATGCTCATTATTATTTGTCCTTTGGGTTTCTAGTGGGCTTCAGTAGCACGTCTCCATTTCACTCTCTTCTCTGCAGTCTTTTTAACCTGGCTCCACGACTGCCCAGAGGCCTTCATTTCTTCCTCACACTATCTCCTCCACGTCACCCTTGGACGTCCGACTAGTCGTTTCCTCTTTGGGTCCCACTCAAAGGCCTGACGCGTGATGTCCACGAATGGTTTTCTCAGTGTATCCCCGATCCAATCCATCTCCACTTTCCTTTTCTGTATATTTATTGGGTGATGGGTTGTCGGTTGGTTCGTTGTCAACCAACCAGCCAGAGTTCCTTGTTGCTTATTCTTATTATTCTCGCTATCTGATCTTCAGTTTCCAGTAGGCGTAGGCTGCAGCTGTTGATGTATATCTGTAGTTCGTTAGCAATGCTTTTCGTAACGCGCCACGTTTCGGAATTGTATAGAAGCGCTGACTTGACTGATTTGGTATTGATCCTGGCTTTCATATCCTCATCTGTGTCACCGCCTAAAGTTTAAATGATGCTGCTCAGGTAAGTAGGCGAAACAGGCTATTTCCTTCAGGTTTTTTTCGTTGGTGGTGTTTGCGTATCTTCATCCCCTCTGTTATTTCCACATTCACTTGAAGTCCAGTCTTCCCTGCCTCTTCTATCAACTTGTTGGTCTTTACCTGTAGATCTTTGAGTTTGTGCGACATTAAACATAAATCATCATCGTCGAAATCCAAATCTTCTTCTGGGGTCTTTTCATCGGTCAAATAGCGTATGCCCATCTTTACGCTCCTCATGGTTTGCGGCATTATCCAGTTGACAACAATCAGGAGGATGATCAGTAATAGTAGGCAGCCTTGTCTTGTTTTACTCCTGTCCTCACTTCAAAGGCATCACCAGCTTTCCATTATGAATCACTTGGCATGTGGTGTCTTCATATAGCTGTTGAATGAGGTTGATAAAGGTTATATGCATCATACGAGCAATAACAGTGGTTTGGAAGTCAGTGATTATAGCTTTTAGATTGGTCATTTTATAATAATAATAATACCAATGTTGCTATGCATGACAGAAACAGTACGGTACTGAAAACAGACATCCAAGCTTAGAGACGAAAAAAGTGGAAACGCAAAGTAGAAACCCCAATCACACTACAGTGATATGATTGATGAGGTGAGGTGGTTTATAGAACTTTCCCTGGTTAAAGCAGAGCTAAACGTTGTACACTCTTTCTTTGAAAACAATAGTTAATGTTGTTTCCTAGATTTATTATAATTTCAGGTGTCGTTAAGAATAACTTAAAAACAACAATAAAAACTTTAAAAATAAGACAGATTCTCGTAAACTGATGAATTATTTCTTTTTCAGTAATGTTTGTTTACTGCATACAGCACTGAGTGAAGCATGCTCAAATTTTTAAAAGAAACATCATTTACTTCAAGGTCTCAGATGAGAGTTGACGGGTACGAAACTAAGGTTGAGTAGAGCTTTCAGAACCACAATCTTCAAAAAGTGTATTCAGTTTTCCTGCGACTTATCTCACTGATCCCTCAATATCTGATCAACACTCAGGACTAGTCAGTGATACTGATTATCATCCAGTGATCGACTCAGGTATTTTTCACAACATTACTAAGCCTAAGATATCAGATAAATTTAACGTATAGGAAATTGGAGTTAGTTGGTAGAAGCACCAAAATTGTCAACAGTGAGGTAATTAACTCAAAGGTGAGAGAGAAGTGGGTAGACAGGCGGACTGAGATGAACAAAAAATATGTAAACCTTCATTAAAAAGACATCAGTTAAGATTACCACAAAGCGTAGTCACAAAAAGGAGAGATTGAAAACGTTGAAGTATGTTGATAAAAGCAAAAAACAAATACTTGACTGGTTAAGCATAGAATGCAACCATATTACTACTCTGGATTTTGAGATGCATCAACCGGTCTCTCCAAACACTGATCCATAAGGACTTGGTAACCTCAGACTGGTAGTACAAATTTCCTCACTCAGCACACGCGAATAATGAGTAACTTCATGAATTACTATCATATTTTGTTTTGTCACTGTTCAGTCATCATGACAGCTTAGACAGTGATCGATCATGAGTATTATTGTATGTCACAGTCAGCTCAGTTACTTCATGTTCAGAACCTTTGTTTTTCTTTTAGGTAATTCCCAATGTAAAACTTTAATACTGACCACTCGAGGGTCTGATCATGTTTAAGGAGTACTGAGAATGCGTGGTTAAGTACTTGAACATATATATATATATATGTATATATATATATATATATATATATATATATATATATATATATATATATATATATATATATAACTTACTTCCAAGATAGCATACAGTACAGTAGTTTCCCAATAAACTTTCAGTTATGATTCATCACATTTCTTCTTTTTCATCATATTAGCTCCTAAGGATATCTAGTTCATTCATATTGTTGTGTATGGAATATATATTTTGTCATTCTTGCTGATAAATACATCGATTGCTTAAACTTCTTTTGCTTTTGAGTCGAAGGATCATACAATTGCATTGAAGAGTTTTCGAAGGTAATTCAGCTTATGCACCAATTCGTCTAAATAATATCTGACTAAACATTTTTCGCCTTATAATTTACCAACTAACATTCAACGCTTTCTTTTCTTCATCCTATTGTCAGTTCCAACGCGTGTTTTTTTATTAATTCCCGACAGTGCAAACTATCTGCTGCAAGATGATTTGTACTCTTATTTTCAAAAAAAAGTTTATTCGCTCAAGGTCTCATATACAATCTACCAACCACCTGTAAGACTAGTTTAGAAAAACTTGATTGATCACTGAAGAGTAAGCAGTTTACTGTTGTCTAGTCCTAAGTACTGACCTAGTTCTTGTAAGTATTTTTGTAATCCAGTCGGTAATCAAGATAGTCAACCAACTCAATGCAGTTTGACTGATGTAAGCGATTGTAAGCACCTGGCAAAACGGCCTGAATCTTCACCTCATACTTACTGATAATCGCTAACAAAATGATTCGCGGAATTACGTTGACAGATAGGAATTGACAACGTGACATTATTTGCTCGCCTGTGACTAATTACTATATCTCATCCAGTCCTACATTAGGTCAGCCATGGTTCAAAGAACTCGATGGTAAAGTGTCTGACTTCAGCGTTGGGTAATGTAGTTTGAAATGTCTCAATAAATGCCAGTCCCCACAAATTTGCAGATTCCTCTTGTTTACGAATACCAACAGACACGAAATCTGGATCAAAGGCCTTCTGATGAACATCTCGAGAGCCCTGACAAAATATTTCTGTTTCACATGAAAATCAACGGTCAAAATATCAATTATTCGCTTTCCAAACCCAGAAAATCTAATGGAAAATCATCTCAAATTTAATTTGATTCATCATTAGCTAGCAGCTATATGTTCAAATAATAGTTTCATTTTTCCATGTCGAACGAGAACTTGGAAAGCACATGAAACCAAAAAAAGAACAATTGTCATTATGTGAAGTAGGATTACCACGATCTTCATAAAACTTCCCTGAA